TTCTATTGAATTGACCCTTGTACAATTGAATTGAAAACCCCTGATATTGCATTAATATTGCACTATACAGTAGGATTCAATATAGCTATTGCTCTGAGATAGAAGCTGTTTTTCAGCCTATTTGTCCTTGTTTTTAGGGTCAAACTAGACTCTGGGCAGAGTTTGCCTGCAATATGTCACTTTAACCACTGTGCCACCAGGGCTTTAGGCTCCACCAACCTAGTTGCAAATCATACTCCTTGTAGTTATTGAAAGTTAACAATAGCTGCAAAAAGGCTGTATGAGTCACCTGCATTGGAACTTTAATTTCTTTGGGGATCCTCATGGGACTCAAGAATAAACTCTGATATTGGCATAAAAAATTCCCGGTACTAATTATTTTATTTAACCGACTTGCACTTACAAAAGCAAGTTTGAAAATGTGCAGCCTTACTAGAGTTTCGGGTATTCTGGATTAGGATATGGAATGTATAGAGTGTACAGATTAACAGAGTTGGAAGGGACCTTGTAGGTCATCTATTCCATCACCCAAGCAGAAGAACCTATACCATTTCTGACAGATGGCAGTCCAGTCTCTTCTTGAAAGCCTCTGGTGATGAAGCTCCCACAACTTCCGAAGGCAGCTTCTGTTCCATTGTTTGATTGTTCTGTCAGAAAATTTCTCCTTATTTCCAGGTTGAAACTTTTCTTGTTTAGTTTCCATCCATTATTCTTTGACTGGCCTTGACCACAGACAATACTGCTACCCTCCAAAAAGACCTTGACTATGTGTCAGAATGGTCAAACAAATGGCAACTTCAAATCTCAACAAATAAATGCTCTGTCTTACATATTGGCAAAAAAAACCCCAGAAAATAAAATACAGGCTGAATAGTCAGGACCTTGTTGATCCAAACTCTGTCAAGGATCTTGGAGTACGCATCTCAAATGACCTAAGTGCTAGAGCCCACTGTAACTACATAGCCAAAAAGGCGTTAAGAGTTGTTAACCTAATCTTACGTGGCCTTTTCTCTGGTAATATTACACTACTAACTACAGCATACAAAACATTTGCTAGACAAATATTCGAATACAGCTCATCAGTCTGGAACCCACATTACGCATCTGATATTACCACAGTTGAGAAAGTCCAGAAATATTTCACAAGAAGAGTTCTCCACTCCTCTACTTGTTGTAGAATACCTTATGCCACCAGACCTGAAATTCTAGACCTAGAAAACCTTGAATTACGCCGTCTTCGGTCCAATCGAAGTATAGTATATAAAATCATACATTGCAATGTCCTACCTGTCAATGAATACTTCAGCTTCAACCATAACAACACTAGAGCAAACAATAGATACAAACTCAAGGTTAATCGCACCAAACTTGATTGCAGGAAATACGACTTCAGCAACAGATATGGGATGTGGTCAATGTCTGGAATACTCTACCTGACTCTGTGTTTTCTTCCCCAAACCCCCAAAACTTTAACCTTAGACTGTCTACTATTGACCTCACCTCTTTCCTAAGAGGTCTGTAGGGGGTGTGCATAAGTGCACCAATGTGCCTACTGTCCCTTATATGTATCCATGTATTCATAACTATGTTTTTACTTATACCTACTATCTTGTAAACAATTGACAAATAAAAACAATAAATAAATAAATAAATAAATAAATAAATAAATAAATAAATGTGCTTTGGAAAATAGCTTAACCCCTTCCTCCTCTCTGTGGCAGCTCCCCAAATATTGGAAGAGTGCTATCATGCCTCCCCTGGTCCTTCCCTTTCACTAGACTAGCCATGCCCAGTTCCTGCAACCATTGATCGTATGTTCTAGGTTATTTCTCCAACTGGTACAAGTAGTGCTTGAGTTATGGCCACAGTTGAGTCCAGAATTTTCATTGCTAAGAAAGGCGATTCTCACGTCAGTCCAACTCAATGTTCCCACCTTTTTTGTTGCGATTGTAAACTGCAGTTAAGAGAACCCAACTTTTCCCACTTACCTGGCTTGTCAGTAGCCCCCTGGGAAGGTTGCAAACGGTGATCACATGACCCTGGAATGATGAGACCATCATAAATGCCAGTTGCCAAGTACCTGGATTTTGACCACTTGACTGGGGACTCTATGGCAGTCTTAACTAGGACAATCAGATAGGCCACGTTTCTCAGTGCCGTTGTAACTTTGGACAACCACTAAACTTGAGAATGGCCTGTCATGCTTATCCAATGTCCTGCCTCCAAACAATGTCCTGGCATTTTTAAACCATTGCTCTGGGTTCTGAAGGTTTAGGGTATGAATCTGTTATGTCTCACCTATATTCACAAGTGAGAATACAGAGTTCCACAGTTCCAAACATCCAAACAAAACAGAAGCAGACTAAAAAAGGGTTAACAGTACTTATTCCAGTCCTTGGCAGACTTCCCGGAATCTGTCTGGTAATTCAGAATGTTCATAAATTACAAAGGCCGCTCCACATGTATTCTTTCCACACATCAAACACTTTGCTTCCAAGCAAAGTTTGAGAATCATCACGCCTCCTTAAATCACCTGGATTGGCGTGTCAATCTCCCTAATCAATGTCTGGCTTGACACCTCCCCTCAGCTTGACGTTTCAGTCTCCTCCTAGTTCTGGCGTCAAGCCACGATCTGTCAGCTTCCCTACTCGAAGCCTCTGACTCATTTTGTGGATCAGTTGCTG